TTCTCCCCAGGCCTGGTGTTGCTCAGAGAAACAACTGTTAAGCCTCAATGGCCTCCTTTAACCAAACCACCCAAGGACCTTCAGAGCCTGGCTGCCTCTGAGGGGTGCCCTCAGCAGAAGGAGACAGCAAGAGGAGAAGCTGGGGCAGCACAGCCTCATACTTCTGCTCCTTGGGAGGTTTATGTCATAGCCTGTGTCACTGTGGGAGAGGAACTGCTATGCTATTGACAGTAATAAGTGGTAGCATCTTCAGGCTCCAGGCTGCTGATGGTGAGAGAATACTCTGTTCCAGATCCACTGCCACTGAACCTCAATAAGACCCCAGATTAAAATCCACATGCAACATTGATCAAGGGCTTAGGAACTTGTTCTGTTTTCAGCTGATACCAGCATAATGAACTAAAGAACAATTTTCACTGGTCCTTTTTGTGATGATGTCCAGTTCTCCTTGAGATTTAGACAGAGAGGATGGAGACTGGATCATCATGATGTCACATCTGGCACATGAAATTGGATGCACAAAAAGAAATATGCTCACAATTAATTGTGCTATAAGAGGATTTCCATGAAGAGCCTCATAATATTGAACACACTAGATAGAGTAAATTGCAATTGTTGTCCCTCCTTAACTGGGATGCAAAGCAGCAGGAGCCCCAGGAGCTGAACAGGGGCCCTCATGGCCAAGCTGTGTCCTGACAGGGACTGACTCCTGCACAGGGTGTGACCTGCCTATTAAGAAATCCTCAGGGCAGTGGGCTATGCTGTATGCACATGCAAATCTGCAGGGCTGGGCATGGCTGGGCACAGCTGCAGGGCGGGCTCCTCTCAGTAGTAGCATAGGCCCAGTGTCTCAGTTTAGATGAAGACAATACAGACTTTCCCATGGGGAGTGCTTTTCTTCCTGATAGACACAGGAGAGTATCATTCTACTGACATTTCTCCAGTGCTGTCTTCATTTATGTTAATTTTTCTCTGGATCTTCCTGTAAGACAGGACCTGACAGAAACAATCAAAGGAACATACACATATTTAGGTTGCAGAATTGGGTGACTGTCACTGTAATTTAGATGGAAAGGAGTCATTGTCCTTGGTGCCCTGATGACCTTGGTGGGTGTGTTATCAGCATTACACTAGAATGTAATGGGGAGAAGAGAACCAGAAAGGGAAGCTTCAGAATGTGAGAAAGTGACTAAATTCCCATCATTGCTAGTCCTATCATGTCACCCCCAACCCACACTTGTGTCCCTTCCATTACTGAATTATCTGTCCCATCACTTAAATCAAAGGCAGCACTAGTCAGAATATTCTCCTTCCACTTCTGCACTTTGTGACAACCACGCAGCTCTGTGTAAAATTATGCATTTCCATGGTGGGTGTCCTGGGGCATTCTCAGTTATTCCTTTTGGGTTTCAAACTACTTCCCCCAACCTCTTCCCTTTAGAAGCAGAGACCCTTCTTGAGAGCACTACTCATATGTGCCCTTGAGCCTCCTGGGTTGGTTAATGTGTGCACGCCTCCTTCACCCCCTCCCCTGTAGTTGCTAAGACAACACTGAGTTCAGTGACTGGACATAGAAATTGTGACCCTGTAGAGTGAGGTGGATGAGGTTCAGGTTGATGGAAACTCTCAAAGTGCATGTGATATCCATGGATGTGGGAAGGACATCATGGTTATTGAGGTCACAGTGGGGGTGCTGGTTGTCCACATGTGGGTGTGGTGGCACAATTGTCCCATGGTGGGTGTTGAGATGGAGTTAGATGAAGAGAGCATTCACACATGAGGGACTCCCCTGCACAGTGACTGAGGTAGAGCAGATGTGAGGTGGTGACTGTTGCATGGAATACAACTTGGTCACAGCCTGGTCACTATTATCAGAACACAGTGAGTGCAGGGAGGAATGTGTGGGAAAGTCATGAGGTCTTAGGTGGTAGTGACAATAGAAGAGTCACTTGACAGTAGGGTTGTTGATCACAAAATTAAGTTTATGAAGTATCACTGGAGCCAATAATCACATTGTTGGAGAAAGTAATTACAGTTTATAGAAATGAGAGTATTGTCTATAAATTTATTTCATACTAAACTATTGTTTTGGATTGAGGTAGAGATAAAAATTCAAATTCATAAATGTAAATAAATATAGATAATTTAACCATGGCTATAATAGATGTGTGATTGATAACTCTTCCTTTCCCTTAAATAATGCCATGCTATTTCCAATAAGCACCACAAAATGCTAACTTTGGTATCTAATTTCCATCCTTCACTGACTGAAACTAGTGGCCTTGGAGAAATGACTACTCCTAGTCAGGGAGAGAAAGTACCAGAAAGTTTAGACCCTTGTGTGCCAAGAACTGAAGAGTCCTCAACAATAATGAGGTCCTGCAAAAGTGAAGAGAAGCCAGCTATTATGAGATTGCCACTAACCAATTCTGAGGAGTTTTGGATAGCATATAAATAATTATAGTAATATTATAAACCTTGGGGAAAAATATGAACCCTTCAGTACACTGATATTTTGATTAGTGATGGGATGTTGGATGAGATGTTAAAAAAACATGTCAATATAATCTTCTTAACTTCCAAAGATAAAGAGTAAGTGTGCAGCAGAGGTGTCTCACAGCCACAACCTCAATCTGGGGATGGAGGTACCATCACCAATACTGAATGGGAGAGTCTGACACCATACACCCTACTGACACACAGAGAGAAGACCGTTAGGCACTCTGCCCATTCCCGCAAAGGCGCATGACTGAGTGCAACCTCAAGGGAAAACACCCAGGTCCAAACCAAGGGCATTCAGTAAACATTGGTGTGTCATCACCACATCACCAGCCTGGCCTGGTCTCTGCTGGTTCCAGGTTAGAGAGTCACGGTTGCTCTTATTGGCGGTGCAGATGATGGAGGTGCTGTCTCCTGGAGACATCAGAAGGCTGGAGACCATGTCAGCCCCAGGTTCCCACTGGCAGCTGGGAAGGAAGAAACAGCATTCCTGTTGTCAACAGGGTCCCACTCCATTTCGCCAGCACAGCTGGCTGTTCTGGGCACTTGGGTTTCTAAGGGGAAACTGTGGGCTAGAGATGCCCAGAGTCCTGGGAGCATGTCATACTAGGAGTAGATAAGTCCATCAGCTCAGGATGTTCCCTGTGCTCCCCCCTCACCTTGATGCCAGAGCAGTAGAAGGCAGCAGAGTGCGGCCAGGTCACCCATGGCTAGACAGACCCTGCCTGAGGCTCCTGCTGCCCAGGTTCACCAAGAGGCCTGTTCACAGGGACTCTGAGAAGCAGAAATGGGCTCTGGGGAAACATGCAGATCAGCAAGGGTGGGGTAGACCTGGTCTGGCAGCTGCAGCGCTGGTGTTCTGGGGACTCAGTTCCTGCTGGCATCCACACACAGTCCCAGAGGAGTTTCTTCTTTGCTTTATGAGATGAAAACATCCCTAATGTTTTCTCCGTCTTATTCGTACTGAGGGTGTAAGAATGTGTAGGTAGAATAGGGCTTTCTCCGTCTGAGGAAGAGAAAATCAAAGAAGGTATCTGATGCTGTGAATTAATCCTTCCTATGAACATGTGATCATCCTTCTAGAATTCCAAGGAATATTATCTTCTAGAGACCGTTATGAAAAAAATGCTCTGTGTGGATCTGGGGTTTAGAGGAAATGCTAGGCTCCCTGGGGACGAGAATGTCCTGGGGAAAGTCCATCTCATACCTCTTGGGGGTGCTGTGCATCTGTGAAGGCTCAAATTATGGGAGCATATTTCCATGACCAACGTTATCTTTTAATTTGAAGATCAATGCATTTGATTCTTAATTTTTCTCATTTCCTTATTATTTTTCCCATTTCTCTCTCTTTGATGACACTGTCACATCCTCGGGTAGGTGTGTCTTCGTTGCCTGAGATCACTAACTACTCTCCTTTTCTTACCTCACAGTGAAGCCTTGTGGTCACTCTGTATTCTGATTTTCTTTCCTCCAAGTACTCTGAGATATTCCTTAACTAAAAATTAGTAATTCATATAAAGATTAACAAATATTTTACATCATCTATCAATATGGTTTAGCTTTCCTTCTGTAACTCATTTTTATGTTCAGTTACATTAACAAATATCCTGGACTCACTGGAGCTCCTGGGGAACACCTTTATTTGGGTAAAAATGCAATTCCCAATAGCTACTCTTCTTAGAATGCCCTGTTCAGACTTGCCCATGTGGGAAGCAATTTGATTGTAAACTTTCTTCTCCTCCTAGTAACAAGCAGGGTATTTTATTTGAGTTTTGCTTTATAAAACCTGGTTGGGGTATCTTTGTGGGCAGTGCATTGTTCCTATTTTTTCTTAAACATCTATTTAACTTTATGTGTCTCCTTCCCTGCCTGTGTCCATGTAGATGGCTATGTAAGCACTGTGCTGGTAAGGGTTGCCAATCAGTGAGCAGTAGCAACCTCACAACTCCGGGGTTTACAATAGGAAGCCTTTCTCTTCATGTCCATGGATGGCAGTAATGTGACTGGGGAAGTCAGGACTCAGCAGGGTGGTTCTGTGGCAGAGCACTGGGCTCGCATCCAGCTGTGGACTGTATGGTCCCTGGGCCCAAACCTGAAAGTCTGTGAGAACAGGGCACAACATTTTCAAGAGGAGGTGAGGACAATTGCTATCCCCATCCAAGTGGCACTTATAAGTCCAGTCGTCCCTGACAGAGCTGCGTGGTGTGTTACCTCATCTTTTCACTCTGATGACTGCCGAATTTTCTGAACAATGTTTGCTGCACTTAGTTATCAAAGTATTTGATTGTTTCTTGAACGTAAAGTTACAGAACTCGAACTATCCTTTTAAAATTACTTGAAAATAACTAATAAACAATGTTTTCTCCATTAGGCTTTGAAAAACAATTCCTTCTGAAAATCCTCATTGCAAAACTATTTTTTTTTTGCAAGAAGCAAATGTCTCCTAAAACGTACTGCTGAACCCTTTCTATCCCTGTCCCTTGGTAAAGGTGCAGCTTGTTGCCGCAGTCTGGCTGGGCACAATTCAGGAGCCACTTGTCAAAAGAAACGAACTTTATTTTTAGAACACACACACCACACCACACAGCTCTTCAGGAAAAACCCTCAGAGCCCAACTGCCACCACTGGCTTCCCACAAGCCTCTCAACCTCCCCCACTCCTCCTGCTCTTGAGGCCAATTGGCTGGGTCGTGTGGGCGGAGCCAAAAAAGTCCCCCAATGAGCAGCTCTGTGGTCTGAAAGGGCAGGGAAACAGCCCAATGAGCATCACCACAGAGGAGCCAATCAGTTCTCAGCTAGAAGTTTGCTGGGGCTGCTGTGAGCCAATCATCAGCTGGCAGCTGGAAGTTTGCTGGCAGCTGGACGTTTGCTGGGGCCCCTTCTGCTGTGGCTCTCAACAGCTTGTCACCCAGGAATTCTCAGGAGCCTTGGCTATTTGGCACTTGTCACTTCTCTCAGTGATGCAGAGGAAGATGCTGGATCCTGGGCACATCTTGAGTTGGGATATATTTTTTTCACATTAAGGAAACCTAATAGTTCATGCAGGTTTAGGCCCATCCTATACCAGTTCAACAGGGATGTGGTCAGGTCTATGTTGCTGGAGCCAAGCAGGAGAAAAGAATTTAGGGTGCAGGGTAGCCTCTTTGGTGCTTTCCACCAAGACCTCTCAGGGATCTATAGAGGCTGGCTGCCTCTGAGCAGTGCCCTCAGCAGGTAGAGGCAGCAGGAGGAGCAGCTGGGGCAGCCCAGCCTCACACTTCATCTCCCTGGGAGGTTTTTGTCATGGCCTGTATCACTGTGGGAGGGGAACTGTTAGTCTGTAGACAGTAATAAGTGGCAACATCATCAGGCTCCAGGTCACTGATGGTGAGAGAATAATCTTTCCCAGATCCACTGCCACTGAATCTTGATGGGAACCCAGATTGCAAATTGCTTGCAGAATAGATCAGTTGCTTAGGAGCTTGCTCTTGTTTCTGCTGATACCAGGCTACATAGTTGTAAATATTCTCACTTGCTTGGCAAGTGATGGTGACTCTCTCTCCTTGAGATACCGACAGAGAGGATGGAGTCTGGGTCATCTGGATGTCACATCTTATATCTAACATTGGAAACAAACACAAATATACACACATTTAATAATGTCACAAGAGACTTTTCTGGAGGGCTGAGAACATGTGCAGTGTTTTCTCCCCTTATCTCGGAGGCAGAGCAGCAGGAGCCCCAGGAGCTGAGCAGGGGCCCTCATGGCCATGCCTGACTGGGACTGACTCCTGCACAGGGCGTGAGCAGCCTCTTAAGAAGTCCTCAGAGCAGTGGGCTGTGCTAGGGGCACATGCAAATCAGCAGGGCTGGGCAGGCATCATCCCAGCTGTAGGGCTGGCTTCTCTCAGTCCCTCAACACTTACCAAGTGTGCCCATGTGTTCCAGGTCAGACCAGGGCAGCACTGCTTTGCCTTTTAGAGAGTCTGTTTCTCTCTGGTGACATTTTGTTACTAAGGATATTTTCAGGACAATTGTCCAATTTTGAAGAAGACTTAAGGTCTGGATTGAGCAAAGTATTTCATACCTAATATGAGGATTACCTAGGAGAAGGTTCTTATAGAGAATATGTAGTGAAGTGTTACAGAGGAGAACATCAGGCCATTAATAGGCTCTCGCATGTTCCTGATAGGAGGATACCTTGGGTTTCATTTGAAATCATGTGGATATTAAATAATTTTTAAAATAAAAAATGCATTAGAAGAACTTCCAGCTACAGCAGCTGCCTTAGCACAGCCTGAGCCCTGGAGGAGTTTAGCTCACAAGAAAGCAGACAGAGCATATGGCCTGGGCCTGCTGGGAGCTGTGCCCTGCCACTGGCTCCTGCCGTGGCTCTAAGCTTCACGTGTCCCCAGCCACTCCAGGAAGGAACGCAGAGCGAATCCCTCCACACTCCCTCATCCCAAGGGTCAAGATTGTGCCCAGAGCTGCCCATTTCTTTACCCTCTTGTGTCTCATCTCTGAGCTGGTGGCAGGTGCCTTCTCACCCCTGCTCCTGTCCTGGACTGGAAGAGGCTCTCCTGCCCTTACCATGCACAGCAGGACAGAGCAGGTGCTCAGTGAATCAGACCTGAGAATGACAGTGACTGTAGACTCTGGTTTCAGGTGACCATCTTGGTTACCTGAAATGGATCCCTGCATTTACATAAGCAGACTCAGGCCCTGGACTAACTGGGAGAGGCTGGAGCAGGGGTCACTCAGGACTGAGCTCAGGCTGGCACTGCCTGAGGGCTGCTCTGTGGCCCTGGGCTGGGTAAGCAGCTCCGAGGTGGAGGCCCTGCCATGTGGGGTTCAGCCCACACAGAGGGTGAAGAGAGTGGGGTCCCCGTCCCCTTCATGTTTGCCTTTCCTGGAACTCCAGCCTCCTGGTGAGGATCTGTGTTCCTGCCCATCTTCCAGGGACCTGGAACAACTCTGCAGGGCCGTGGGCCTGGAGCCCTGGAGTGAAGGCCTGTTCACCAGAGTCCAGGCTCAGAGCCACTGTTCCTGTGTCTAGAGCAGCTGATCCTCCTCATATTGGCTCCCTCTCTAGCAGTGTTGCCCCCCGTGGAGGCTCCAGGTGCACCCAGGCCACCTGAGCCCCTGTGGAGTGAGCTTAGCACCCTGGGGACAGCCTGAGGGTAGCACTGACATTGCAGCTTCTCCTCCCCTCCCCCTCCCTTCCCCTCCTCCATGTGAGGTCCCCAGTGTCTGCTCCACACTATAGTGGAGCCTGCAGTGGGATTTGTTCCCTCATAGTAATTTATGAGGACAACCCACCCACTGCACACGTGGCTGCACCGACTTCAGAGCTGTGGCCCTGTCCTCTCACTCATCCAGGCCCACTGCTGACCCTTAGTTCTGACCCCACTCCATCAGTCCTCAGAGGAGGGACATTCTTCTCAGGTTGTGATGATCACAGGGTATAAAGCAAAATAGAAAACACTCAGGAACTTGGCTGTGAGGAGACTTAGTCCACTGTGCACAGAGCCCCAGCGGCCATGTGTCTGGGCACTGGGCACAGTTCCCAAGCCTTAGGGCTCCTCATGGGAAGGATCTCTGTTGCTTTCCCAGGGCCTCTGAGGTCAGGACCCTAGGCTGGGTTCTTTGTGGGGTTGTTTGCCATCTAGTGGCAGAGTTGAAACATAGCAACTTGGGAGATTTGGGGGTGTGGAATCCAGATTCATGAAACTGATCCTCTTCCATCCATCACTAGGGCAGATTCTGTAGGAAGCTCAAATGGTCCCTCTCCTCAGTAAGTTGTTCAACTAGTTAAGTACATAAGACCAACACTGCACCAGGGATTCAGAAAACATACTGGTCTCGAGGGAGCTGGCATCTAGGTGTGTAACTCTCAGGATATGCAAAAGCTGGGGTTTTGCCAGAGAAAAGAAGAGGTCTGAGAGACCCTGGGGAGGTCAGTTTTAAAGGTGCAGGAGGCTGAGGGCTCCTGGTCTAGAGCTGCCAACCCAGCCTCATGCATCCCATGCAAAACCCTTCCAGATCTGCTGAGGGTCTCCCAGGGCTCCCAGGAAGAGCTTCCATGTTCAGAGTTGGGCCAGGGCAGATGAGGCAGCTGAGGAGCATTTCAGAGTGTCCCAGAGGTGCCCAGGCTCCAGCCCCCACTGCCACACTTGGCCCTTCCTCCCAAGGATGCTGAGGTGGGAAGGGACCTGCCCCTGCAGCCCCAGCATGCCCAGCCTCCCACACTGCATTTGCCCTTAAAGGAGTCCCACATCACCACATGCACATAGGACACCTGACACCCTCTCAGGGATCCAGTGGGGTGACATTTTATCTAAAACCATGAACAGAAGGATGGAGGTGGTGGGACCCTACAGGTCAGGGGAGTCAGGAGCTCAGTTCCTGGCTCAGGTCTTGGCTCTCCACAGCAGGTGCTCAGCACAGGAGATGACAAGTGCTGTGCCCATGAACAATAGAAAAACTGGCTTGAGGACATCTCAGAAATTGGCAAGCCCACACCAACGTCACCATTAAAGATGGAAAAGTAAAATTTCCTTGGAAAAGAGACCAAGGGACACCCTGCTTTTATGGGGGGCTCCTAGGAAGTAGTTCCCTGTGCTCAGCCACGCAGGCACTCAGAGGATGATATATCTGTGGTTCCAGGAGGCTTGGTGACAGCTCAAGATGGTGGCAGACATGGGCCTCACCCACGTGGAGCTGGTTCTGCAGGAATACAGGATGCAGGAGCCGGGAGTCATGAGGTTCCACTGAGATTTCAAAGGAGGCTCTGAAGGTCAGGCAGGGAACATCAGGGCTGAATCCCTGCAGTAGCCCCTGAGAAGACAAGGTGTGGAGATGTGAGAATGGAGGTGGCATTGCAGTAGAAGCCCTGGGATTGAGAGATTCCAACTGCATGGGACATCTGTTGAGGGAAACTCTGAATCCAGCAGAGACAAGTGGGAAGGGAAGCTATGTGGGCTGTAGCCAGCAAGTCCACAGGGGCAGAGCCCTGTGTCAACCCTTTGGACAGAACTTCACTGTGCCACATGCCCAGGTGCTGGATGGGGGGCTGCAGGGTGGGTTTGCCCAACTGGATTTTACAGCACAGCTTTGGCACCATCCTTTCTTGCTGTGCTCATATTCCTCCCCTTTGAAATGAGAATGGTGTCCTTCAGCCACTGGACGATGGACATATGTAGCTTGCTTTAGATTGTTACAAGGGCTCACCACCCTGAGTTTTCCTTGGGTCTCAGAGACTTTGAACTTAGACTTTAAGGTAATGCTGAATTGGGAAGACTGTGGGAATCTTGAAGATGGACTAAATGCACTTTGCATTGTGATATGGACATGAGCTTTTAGAGGTCAGGAGTGAATTATTAGGATTTGAATGTGAAATGTCTCCCAAAAGCCTCTGTTAACCTGGGAGTCTTCAGGGATCTACCATTCAGATTAGGAGAGTGTGACATCATCAGTTCATCTTAGTCTGAATGGACAGTATCAGTGATGAGTATAAGCAGGTGGAGCAGGGCTAGAGGGGGTGGGTTACTGGGGGCATGCCCTGGAGAGTTGACCTTCCTGTGATCCTTCCTCTTTCTCCCCATCCCTCTCCTGTTGACATGACCTGAGCTGCTTCTCTCTACCATGTCCCCTCCTGTGATGTAATGCCTCACCTTGTCCCTAGGGCTATAGAGCCAGTTGACCATGGACTGAACCTCCAAAACCACGAGCCAAAATAAACCTGCCCTTCTCTCAGTGTTCATGTCTAGTCTTTTGGTCCCAGAAATGAAGAGATCACTAAAGCATTTCATTTGAGCCAGTTCTTATATGAGTGCATTGTCTTTCCTGATATTTTTGAATTTTCCTGTTCACTTTCTGCTGTTAACTTGTAACTTCATACCATCGTCATCAGAGGAGATAGTATGCATGTTATATGTTCTAAGTCTTTATAACATCATTGAGATTTGTTTTCTGGGCTAGCACATGCAGGATCTTGGAGAACATTCCATGTGCACTTGAGCAATCATGCAGCAAGCCATTGTGGGTGGAATCTGCCTACATGTCTGTTAGATAGGTGGCATTGATGCAGGTCTCTGTTTCCTGATTTGTCCTCTGTCTGGTTGTTTCAGGGAGTATTGAAAGTATAATAATTGGATCCTCTCTGTTACTATATTGTTGTCTATATGTCCCTGAAATCTGTCCTTGCTTTTAGATATGTTTTGGAGCCTTGATTTTTTGGTGCATGTATGTTTGTAATATTTATCTCCTTGGAGAACGGACCCCATTATCACTGTATAATTATTTTTGTCTCTCCAATCAAATTTGAAAAAAATTCTATATTTCTGATAATAGCATGACTACTTTTCCTGATGTTTTTTCATGTTTTTACCATGAAGCTCTGCTTGTTCTAAGAGGTAAGGTGAGATTACTAAATGAAATGTACATACACAATTTCAATCCATTTTGCAAATCTACACATTTTGATTGGATGTTCTCCTATTTACATTCAGTAAAGTTACAAACAGGGAGGAGCTTCCCTTTGCCATTCTTCTGTGCTTTCTCTCTTCCTCCTGCCTTTTTAATCCCCAAATCTCTTCCACTACAACCACCTTTCTCTTTAGTTTATTTTGGGAGTATAATGTTTCAATTCCCTTCCCATTTTTTTCTGTTTATATGATAGCTTTTTTCCCCCTATTCTTGTTAATTTGGGGTAAATTATAACATACTCAATTTCTAACACCTTAACAAAAGCTGGTGACAATTTGACTTCAATCTCATTAAAATAGGACCTCCCTTACCCTTCAGCACCCCTGGGTGTTACTAATGTCATCATTTGCAACTTTTTGTTGTGCATGCATTAATACAACAGGATGAGTGCTTTCAATGCCTATTTCTTAAAAAATACTGTGGAAAATAAAGACTAGATTTATAATGAAAATATTCTCCATCTTTGTTTTGACAGAAGAACTCTGTGTTTTTGCATGGCTCTTAGGGCCTCTTCAGCTGATTTAATTTCAACATGGAGCACTCAAACTCTATTCCCCAGTGTCTCCCTTCTGCTGGTGCCATGCCAGGGCTTCTGCATTTGGTGGGATCTTAACAGGAGGTGACTTAGCTGTGGCCATGGCACTCAAGGTCCAGAGCCCTCAGCTGCAACTTCTTCCTCTCACACAATCTACTGAGCTGTTGCCCAGACCAGCAGCTCAGGTGGCAGCTGGGCCACCCAGGCAGGGAGGTTTTTGTTTGGGGCTGTACCATTGTGGAAGGGTACCATGTACTCTGCATGCAGTAATACACCCCAGCATCCTCAGCCTCCACACTGCTGATTCTCAGTGTGAAATCTGTCCCTGACCCACTGCCACTGAACCTGTCTGGGACCCCAGTGTTTTGGTTGGAAACAAGATATATTAGACTCTGTGGAGCCTGGCCTGGCTTGTGCACAACCCAACACAAATAGTTGTTTCCATCACTGGTAGGAGGCGTGACTGGACCTGCAAGTGATGGAGGCTGGCTCTCCAGGGGTGACGGAGAGACAGGACTCTGGGTCATCAGAGTGTCCCCACTGGATCCTGAAATAATGTGAAAAATGAAAGTTTATTCATAATATTATGAAACATTTTAATTATTTTGTTCCTTTCTCAACTAAATTATTTGTGCACTCTTGAGTATATAGTTTGGGTTTCTATCCAGAAATACCCAATGTCATATAAGATAGAGTTTTATGTGTACAATGTCTGTCTAGAGGTTGACCACACCACTCTCCTCCCTCTATGGCCCAGTCTTCACCAGTAGATGACTTGTTTTACCTCTAGAAACTTCCTCCCTTTCAGGGATCTGAACATCACATGCCACATCCTGTGCAGTGACACCCACACAACTAACATGTACAGAGCTCACATGTAGGAAGCACTGAGCTCACCCCCTCCCCTTCTCCCTCCCCATCCCCTCTGTCCTCACCAGGGATCCAGAGCAGCAGCAGCCCCAGAAGCTGAGCAGGGAGCCTCATTTTGAGAAGCTGAGCTGAGGAGTCCTGGTGAGTCAAGGGCAGGTTAGAGCTGAGCTTTTATGTCAGCCTTGCAGGAAGGCCCTCCCCAGGGAGCAGCATGCAAATGCCCTGGTGGGTGCAGCTGGGTGGATAGAACCAATGGGGGGCAGGTATGGACTGACTTTGAATAAGTCAAATGTCTTCTGTGACTGGAGGGAAACTGAGGAGATGAAGTCCATGTGGCCTGCAGTTATGGGCAGAGGATCTGATGGTGAGAGTGAAAATCTTTGCCAAAGTCTCAGTGAGTTCAGTAGGAAGCACCAATACAGCACCCGACCTGAGAAAGTTGACAGTGTGTCCTGGGCAATGTCTGGGGTGTGAATGGCCAGGCTGTTTGTCTCCCTCCCCCATAACCTGGAGAAGAAAAACCTCCCACACCCACTAGAACTGACAGAGGAAAGTTCCTCCTGCAAAACCCTCCTGCTTTAGCTCTTTTAAGACTCCTGTGGTGGCTCATGTTACCATGTCAACAAGTGCTGGAAATGGTCTCTCCCTGGGTCCTTGCAAAAGTCAAAAGAACCTGACAGGGAGAAAGAAATCTTTCTCTCACATTCAAAATCAATAATTGACTCTTAATTTCCAATGGTTCTTGGAAAAAGATCTTCCCACAGGAGTCTTCTCACTGTGTAGAATCAAGTCCTCTTGGGAGTCCTGTTCCTTCCTTGCCTTGGGTGAGAATCTGTCTCTCTCTCCTGGCCTGTGTGTGGGGTGGCCACAGCCATGAGTCTCCAGCTCAGAAGGACACACAGTACATGAGTGACAAAAAACAGCACCCTAGGCTGTCAGGTCACCTGGATTTTCATACCTCCTGTAGATTGGTGCCAGGGTCAAATTGCTTTTGTCCTGAACTCAGAATCCTGCAGCTATTGAAAGAATAATTCACACTGTTCCACAAAATTTGGGGTTAGATACACTCAGTTTCAAGGAATCTAATAGCATATAGATTATAGAGCAAGTTTAACCTGGAGCTTGATCTGTATAAGCTCTGGGAAACCCCAATAGGACCTGTTAGACAGGATGGAGGAGAAAATGAAGTGACCTTGACCTTCACCCTGATTTCCACTGCAGCAATAAGATTGGCTGACAAACACCTAGGGGAGGGTGTGAATCTAACATGTCACCTTTACCTGGCTGACATTTCATTCACCCTCATGGTTTGCTCCATTCTTTAAATTTGGTGTTGTTCCATCTGTTATGTGATCTGAGACCATGTCATTCTGGGTCCTCCTCCCAACTATGGGCCTCCTAATCAGCCATGCTGGTGACGGATGGAAAAGAAAGGAGAAGAGAACCAACATCAAGGAGAGTGTGCACAATTATCAATGTCACGACTCTTTATAAAGAACTGTTCTAATGGGTGTCAAATGAGAAATTAGGTTGACTCCACTTCATGGTTTTCCCCCAAACATGGTGACATCTATCACTCAGTAGCTGACAATGTGACATGACATGCTATAGGGCTGCTGGGTAGGTGGTTAAGGAAATGTCCCCCCTGAAGGCCACGGTTGACATACAGGAGGCACAAGCAGAAGCTCTCAGGGAGAAGGAGAGCACAGGGACCATGGACAGACTCTGGGGTTCAGCTGCTACCAGGCAAGCAGGGCCTGGGCCAGCAGAGCCTGGAAGGGGCAGGGAAGGGGCCCATCTTCAACTGCAGAGAGAGCTTGGCCTGCTGCCCCTGGACTCCAGACTTGAGCCTCCAGAGCTGGGAGTGAACTCCTCTGAGTTGGCCAGGTGTGCGGTGTCTATTGAGCAGCCCTGGGAAACTCACGTGTCCATTCCCACTATGGAAACCTGGATTGTGGGGAAAACCAGGAGCAGTAAGAAATCTGTAGGATCTGATTAGTAATAAATCAGGTTTAGAAAAAGTTGTCTTCACAAAATATTCTTTAAAAGAACAAAGTTTCAGGAAATGCTGCCATTTCTTAAATGAACATAAAATATTTAAAAGCCTCCATTCTGATCATTTTTTTATTTCAGAAATTGATGACAATATTTTAGAAGTTCCTTGTTGATCAGAAAAGTTTTCCTAAATTGACCATAGAAAGAAAAGAACAGGCAGCATTTCTAAGTCCAAGGCAGACTCTCAAAGTCCCATGGTCAGCTCACCGTGCTCTGTGTGGACATGAAACCTGAGCAGTGGACACAGCTCATCCCTGTCCCCTGGACACACATTACCAGGGTTTATCAGAGTGGGTGAGACTAACTTTACTGGACTCTGGTGGGGAGGGGCCAGTGGGTCTCTAGGGTGACCAGGCTCAACTGAAAGAGAAGGGACTTAGGCACATGGGTTCCTTGTGGTTTTGACTCTGATGCCAGAGGCTATCAGTTGTGTCCATGAAGCTGCAAGTCCATGTGTGACCCCTGGAGCTGGGAGGCTGCTGGGTACTGGACCTATGTGGGTGCTGAGTGCAAATTTGGCACTGTTACTCCAGCCCCAGGCAGTGTTCTGAGGACCCAGCAGCCCAGTGGCACACACACCCCTGTGTGGCCAGGAGGAGAGACACAGCCCTCCACTCCTGCCTGGGCCCAAAGGAAGGTCTCTTCAGTGTGAGCTGAGAGTAGGTCCCTGTTGAGACTAGAGACCCATCCTCCCAGAGGGGCTTCTCCAAACCCAGGTGTCAGGGTAGATCCTGAGCCCAGAGGACCCTGAGGGCAGCAGGCCACCATCTCTATGTCACAGCCTGTCACCACTCAATGGATGATCAATTCATGGATATTCCAGGTGCAGGGAGTCAGGGAAAACTGTGCCCCAAACACTGAAGGACACTTGCCTGTTTATACTCTTAGTTCTCAGGATTCTCAAGATTGATTGCACCAAATTGATATTATGAGCATACAGGGAAATTTCCAGAACTTTTAAGTTTTGTACACTTTTATTCAATTATTACTTACTTTAAATTTTTCTTAACTCCTTAATGACTTGATTACTGTTTATATAAAACTGAATATTTAAATAAATATTTTTCATTCTATAGGGACACAACACTTTTATTTTATTTATTTATTTTTATGTGGTGATAAAGATAGAACCAGTGCCTCATGTGGACAAGGCAAGCCCTCTACCACTGAGCCACAACCCCAGTCCCTACAACTGAGTTTAATACTATTTTAATTAAATAGGTAGGTTAAAATATTATACAATCTAGCATTCCCACAATAAGGGACTTGGACTTTACTGGTGCCAGTGCATTCTGAGCACACACAGCAGTGAGGTGTTGGATTTCACAAGCACAGAACACACTGTGCCCAGTCTCCTGCCCAGCCCTTTCCTACCCCCTTCCTCCCTCCTCTAACCCAGCTGCTCTGCCCCCCTGCTCTCCCCCTGTGGTTATTTTAATGTGTGCTTTACCATGATGTGTAATGTGACATTCATTGTGGCACAATAATGATGCAGGACATCCACAGCTTTCTCATGAAGGAGTGCAGGAGCACACCATGGCCCAAACCAGCAGGACAGGTGAGTAGTGGATGCAGGTGATGAGAAACGCCTGTGCCCTTGATGCTCTGCTGAAGGGCAATAATGCTAACATGTTTCAAGTTCATTACATCATAATGGAAAGGCAAAATGGGGGTTTCTCTGGTTCCTAATTGGTTTCCTGTAAGTGCTCAGGTGCTGAAGGTTTGGTTCCAGTGGGGCCAAATGAGGGATGATTGATCCTTGAAGAGGATGAGCCTGGTAGGAAGGGGTCAGGTCTGGAGCTGCTGCCCCTGGAAGGACAGTGCTGCTCTCACACACTGAAGGCGTCCTCAGCAGAGTGGGTTGTCATGAGGCCACACCACAGGCCTGGCCCTGCAATGTGCAGCTGGTTCTCTATCCACTTTCACACCACTGTGACACAGGCCAGGAGCCTCACCAGAGGACAGTGGGACTGCCCAGCCTTGGACCCTCAGCCTTGAACACTGTCAGTTAAACCCACCTCTTTACACAGTATTTGCTTAACTCAGAGGTTTTGCTGTAGCAACACATAAAGGACCAATATGTGCTTCTTGTTATGGTTTTAGGTGGCAATTTCTGTAGAGCTGCATTGGAAATTAAGAAAATCTATCTGAAATAATTGTGTCCCAAAGTTAGACTCTCAGATCTCATGGATGTGAACTACTCAACAGTGTAAGATGCCGATTCTCATCCAGCAGGTGGTTCTGGAATTCTGCACTGGGAACAGCTCTTAATGAGGCTGATGATTCTGTTCAGCCTGAAACTTTTGAATAGGATGCGGGTCTCACTGATTTGCTTAGTGCCTCACTTTTCCTGAGGCTGGCTTTGAACTCGTGATCCTCCTGTCTCAGCCTCACGAGCTGCTGTAATTACAGGCCACTGTGCCAGACCAAGGAACCTCATTTTATGAAGTTGAGTAGAAGACTCCTCATCAGTCAAGGCCAGGTTTAGCTGAGCTCTTATCTCAGATGCCACAGTGAGCAGGGCACCAAGAGGACATGGGTTCTGTCCTTTGAACAAAGTCACTTAAAATATCTTGTATGTTTGGAGGAAAACCAGTGAGAAAAAGACCATGCTGCAGCCTGCAGTAGAGGGTGAGATCTGACTGTGGACATTTAAATCCATGTGGAAGACATGTTGAGATGAGGGGACCCCTAAAAAGATTCAGGGAACTGACACTGTATTGCAGGAACTCCCTGTTTTTCAATGTCCCTTACCTGACATGTGGGGGACCAGGAGGGTTTCATATTTCAGTGGTTTTCATATTTTAGAAAATTTGAGTCACTTTATCAGCTGAGCATCCCCATCTCCAATTCCAACCCCCCTGGAACCATCCAATGTCTCCTATTGTTGAGCACTTTGGATTCTGGATGTTAGGAAAGGGGGTGCTCAGCTTGCCCTAGTGGAGAGTGACACAGACTGAAAAGCATAGGGAGTATCCCGTAGAGGAAGGTGTCACTAACTGTGTTGTGTGTGAGTGTGAGTGTGTGTATGTGAGTGTGTGTGTGTATATGTGTGAGTGTGTGTGTGAGTGTGTGTCTGTGTTTGTGTGAGTGTGTGTGTCTGTGACTGTATGTGTG